ACAGCTACATGTCACAATAAAGACGACAGTCCTAGCTGCTCTCTAGGCAGAGATATCTTTTAGGCAAGTTTGCAACTGCAGCAAAATTTGAATCCTGAGAAGTCATGCAAAAACACAAGCCCATTTTGGGCAGACAGTAGCATCGGAAAGCTGTTTATTTACAATGATTTGCAAATTCGGCTTTCTCAGTAGGCACCAGGCATTTAGTCCTTCTGTTTTGCATCACCTAAATGCCGTTTTTTCAATTCCCGCTGCATGTTTTCCGCACAGTCACAGTTGCGAGCTGATGCGGTCACCTTGGGCTCGTCTGCCGACTAAGCCGCTTACCAGTTCGGTGACGCCTATGTGTGACGAATGTGCATGCGTAATCTGCGATCCGCCCTATAATAAAGCGGTTTTCCGGCTTGTCCAGATCGGGTCGTTGATGTCACAGACCGAACTCGAACACTCGCTCATCAGTTTCAAGGCTCTAAGAGAAGCGAGGTGTTAGTTTTCTTTTCACATAAGATTGTCACACTTTCGAGTGGAGGCCGTGGCGCAATATGTTCATCATTGCGGACGTGTCGTTACAAGCACTCAACCTGTTGCCAGTAGCCTTCATTGCGCGGGCGCCGAGCTCGTTCACCGTAAATAGATTGAATTTTTGCTGTTTGCCGACGCGCGGCGTACTCCGCTCTGGCGACCCGTCATGCAGTTCACGTCAGACGGGGGGAACCCGTGGCATCGGCGCGTTTAGAGATAATACTGCGCTTACGTTCCATTGTTGCAAAGATTGCAATCTCTCGTAGCTTCACTTCTGCTTTTTTACTTGCCGTCCTGTAACTGTTGAAGCTCCAAAACATGGCCGCTTTCAGCGACGTTGTCGACAACCGACGGGCTCGTACGTGAGTTAGGCCTACACCGGTAACTCGGCGACCGCCGTTGAACACAGCAAGTTTGCTATCCTCTCTGTCCTTAGTGATATCGGGGTCTTTCTGAAGTTCACAGGGAACGAACGATCGCCACACCCGCTTCACAAATTAGTGCGGCGAGGAACTTCTTTACTGCGGCAGGCAGTCAACAGCACCATGATAAAATGAGCGTCATCAATTTATACGTCCCGGGCGGCTCCGGATGGTCCCGGACGCCGGCGCTGCATTCGTTTTTCTCGGGGGCCAACTGGAAGCTCCGCCCACTGGTCTGGGATCACTGGGACGCATGTTCGTTTTTTGCCTGCCTGGTGGCCTGCGGGCGGATTGGGATTGCCCGAACAATTTCTTTCAGGCACCTGGCAGACGACAGCGCGGTGCGCATGCTGTGCGGCCATCTTAAGTTAGAGACAGGAAATTTTCTATGCGCTACTCTCTCTTTGCTTTTCTGTCCGCTTCTTGCATGTTTCTGGATTTCGCATTGTTAGCACACCCAGTTCTTGTCTTCAGTGTTCTGAGCCACGTCGAGCATGTGCGTATTCCCGAAGGTCGGGCAAACACGCGTTATGCTCGCTAGGAGAAACAGCGGGGGAACGACCGTACTGGTCTACTATGTGCACGCGCTCCAGTAGTTCACTTACAGTAAGTTGCATCACAACAAAAATAGGTATAGTTCACTACCTAACTGCTGTTCAGGTTGCAAATGAGTCAGCGTTGTGGCCTGTGTTTCAACTATGGAGGGAGCAGACGGCAAAGCCAGGCGTAGCAGACGCCACAGCGGATGCAGTCAGCATCAAGCGCGCAGGTGGCCCGAGGCCGCTCGGGCTGGCTCGGGACTTTTAGATCACGTGCATGTGACGTAGCCACCTGTGAGCCGAGGCGTCCGCGGGCCGTCCGCGAGTGATCCGGGACTTAGTAAATCGATGAAGCTCAATGGCACACGTCCGTGCACGTCACGATGAAAAAGCAGACGCCGAAAGCGCCACTCTGCCAATTGGGTGCCTAGGCTTTGTCAGGTGCCCCATGCAGCCAATGGAATCGCGTGGTGGTGCTTTTTGATGACGCGTTTTTGCTGAAAAACCAATGAGCAAGGCGAGCCACTGGTGGCGGGAAATTGAAGATGAAGAACAACCCTTCCAAACGAGACCAAGATGACCAGATAGCTCGTGTGTAACGGCAACGGTTCAGCGTGGAAAAAGCGCGACTTCAGCGTCTATTTGTGCTCAGATTCATCTCACAGGGGTGTTATAAATTGATTTTGTGCCAGGAATAATGGCGCGTGAAGCTTGAAACTTCTCAGATAAGTGCGAAAATAGTTGCAGATTCCAAAAATGTCAACTTCAAAAAGTCGGTTTTTTCGCGATTTTCGGCCTTTTAAGACCCGTGTCCCCCCTTAAGCTGTGAAGCTAAGGAAGCTAGAGTGAGTGTAAGTGCACACTAGATTGTTTCTTACAATTGCAATATTCATGTACTATATAATTGCAATAAAAATGAGTCGATTTTCTAGAGCGAAAAAATTTCAACATTGCGTGCCCCTTTTAGTCCTTGAAGAACCTGTGGCAGGTCCTGGAAGGTTCTTGAATATGGATGACATATGCTTCGCTATCATTTGCCACTTATAATAAATCTGCTAATTGATACACATATTGGTTTTCTCTAAATTAATAACCTGCGAATACACCAATTTTCAGCACACAGAAATTCTAACAACTCTTCTTCCCCACACCCTTTTACAGCAGTTGACAGTTCATTCTATTTATCTTTCTCTGCTAATGACTGATGTATGGATATTTTTCTGGGTGACTACATGCTCGTGTGTATGTGTGCAAAGTTATTTCTGCATGTGTACTTTTTTTTAAGAGTGAGTAGTAATGCTCTTCGAAGGTGTTTGTTTTTTCTTTTCGCTTTTCAAACGTTAGCCTAAATACTAATCACTGCAATCATATACATATAGAAAACTATTTCTGTGTGTGTGCGTATGTGTGTGCCCTGTTGCAGCTACCTTCATGGGAGTGGGAACTTTGTCAAGCAGAGTGTGGCTTTTTTCACACCCCCTATATCATTATATTTTGTACTGATGGGAGATAAACATTATTATTTTAATATTACTATTGTCATTATTATTATTATTATCCTTGAATTTTCACTTTGAAAACCTGTACGAACCCTGTCTGCTCTAGAACTGACTTGCATGCACAGGGGTGCAACAGCTGCGCCAATAGTGCCAATTTCATACAATTGCTGATTGCTTGCGCCAAAACCGTGAAATTTGCTGAATTTACACCACGCTGGGCCAAAATGTACAGCCAGCCTCAAAATTTTCTCATGCGTGCTAATTTTGGCGAGAAATGCTGGCCACGTTAGCCACCTGCCACTTGCGCCACCAGTCAAAGTGCACAGACCCTAACTATATTACCTAGAATATACTTGATGAAATATTCTAGGCACCCAACCTATGCTCGTGTGACGCGATCGACCAGATCAAGTAACAACGCTTCGCGCCCATCGGTCCACTGACTGCAGCGGATACCTATCGGCAGGGCGACGGAACTTCAGACAAAAATGCGTTACTGTAGCCATGAACGCTCCCCGGAAAATGTGAAATTCCTAGCCTGAAAATGGGGCTATGGCTTGTTAGGAGCTAAAGCTGGAAGCGTATGCTGCGTTTTCTTCGTGCCAACAAGCTCGACGTGCTGCGAACGCCACCGTTGGCAGCGACCACGTTAATTTTCTTAGTAGTGGCACATGAAACTTTTTTTTTTTTCTTGAAGTTGTGGTGTCTCGGCCATGGTCTTGGCAATGCACATCCGGAACCGGCGCCGTGCCAACGGGTGCGCGCCGTTGTTACATTACCTGGTTGAACGCGCCTTTCAAGGGAGCCGAAGCGGCACCTAACCCCATGGTGAATGAAAATAAAAGTCGAAAGTTTGGCGAGGCAGGTGTGGTAGGGGGGTGTGGTTAGAAAATTTATTGTTTTGCGATTCTAACCCATGCAGAGAATGTTGCTTAAGTCACCTGCGCCACAGTACACCGGCGCCCTGCAGAAAAGTGTATTGAGATTTGGAAGGGGCTGTTAGTACTAGTCACTAGACACTTCACATCTTGCTCAGTTACTCATGCATTTGTACGCGCATAATTCTGAGTACCAGTATGATCACTGATATCAAAAAAAACCTACTGGCAATCATTCAAAGCAGTGTATCACATTTTTACTTCAAAAAAAAAAAAAAAGAACTAAATTGTGTGCCAGTTTTTTTTTGCACCACCCTACTCCTTGGTTTTACGAATCTCCCAAATTTTGATGTCGCGAGCTTGGCAGATTCATATTAAATTTGCAGAGTCTGTCCAAATGATTAGAGAGGTGCAGCGAATGCTAATATGGATTTTATCATTGTTTGCTCTGTAGGGTGGTTCAAAATACCACTTTCAACATTGAAGTAGCAGTGCTTATGTTGATTAATATGTGGAGTTCAACGTCCCAAAATCACCATATGATTATGAGAGACGCGTAGTGGAAGGCTCCGGTGATTTCGACCACCTGAGGTTCTTTAACGTGCACCCAAATTTGAGCACACGGGCCTACAGCATTTTCGCCTCCATTGCAGTGCTCATGTTCACACTGTACGATTTAGGCGATGTTGAATGGTCTATACATATACTTTTCCTAAATGATAGCCTTCTTTTTTTAAACTGCTTCAAACTTGCTATTTTGTGATTAAAAATGCAGGTTTTTCCTCTGTAACCAGCTCGAAATTAAAATTTTACTCTTCTGAAAGTAACATTGTCCTGCTCCAAAATTCGCTCCAAATTGTATTTCGGCTGTTGCACCCCTGATTGCACTCACACACCTTTTGATGCTGCATGGGCTGCTCGGAAGGCTGAAGCATGCTTCCACCGTCGGAGTTCTTGTAAATGTCGGTGAATGTGTGGCAAGTTGTTTTTTACTAGTTTAACAGTACTGTGCCTTAATTTAAAGCCTTGTCGGTTTGCACTAACAAAGCCTTTTTAGAGCACATTGGGCGACACAATGTGCTGTTGTAGAAATGATGTGTAGCCTTGACAAGTGGTGTGTGTGTGTGTGTGTGTGTGCAGTGGTGAAGGCAGCCACCAATCGAGCAACGGGGACGACCGGACGGTGGTAGCTCTTGCCCGTGCAGTCACCATCCACCCGGAGACCCTCAAGGTCATGTACTTCGCCTAAGCTGGCCCCTTCCTTGTGGGCGGTTGACTTGCCCCGGCCGCCCAGTGCTCGGGCCGGCGCGACTCCCACTGCGTCCCGGCTCGGGGAAGGGGCACCACCGGCTGACTACGCTCAGCTACTGCAGGTGCAGCCATGGACCACCACTTGTGGTTGCCTGCTGAGATGAACCTTTCTTGTTTTAAGTCTTTCGAGTGGCTACAAGCATTTTTGGGGCCTTTGGAGCAACGCAGAAAGGGTCCCTTCATTGTTGCTGCGAAACACCCTTTGTATCCACTCTTCGCTTATGCACATTGTGATCATTCCATTTTCTCTCACAATCAGCATAGATCATCTGTCAAGCGCCAGTCTAACTTATCAGCCTCTTTGTCTCACCATTTAACGTCTTCAAAGCTGTCAGTCCTCTGTATCTGTGGCAATGTTGGTGGAGCTCTGTCAGTGCAGCCTCCGCTGGCAGTGAAACGAGGTACTTGTCGTGGCCACATCTTCGTATGTATCCCGATGCCCTAAAGCACCCAAAAAGTTCAGCGGTGGTCGCTTATGTTGTTCTGCTCTCAGCCTGCCATTTTTTTTTGTCTTTTATATGTCTTATTCTTCAGTGACCAGGGCAAGTATTTGAAGATGGTCACACTGTCCACCCAAAATGTGTTCCAAAGGGGTACATTAACATAGGGGGCATCCCCTAGTTGCTTAGGCACGCTGACTGTGGTTTATTTAAGGTAACGAGAACTGCTGTAGCTGCACCCACATTTAGCTGAGAAGACTCGTTTGCAGTTACCGTCGGGCCATGGTGATTGGGGGCTCAGAAACTTGTTGCATTGCCTGTTGTTAGCGCAAGCCGCAGGTATCGCTCTCCCAGCCAGTCTATGCTTCTTGGGCTGCTTTCCGCTGCTTACCGAGCTGCTTTGCACACAGTGCACGCACCGCTAAGGCACGAGAGAAGACAGGAAAAACTCGACAGTTCTTGAAGAGCTGTCTGTGATTTCTAAGCAATATTGCAACGAAAGGTGTGGTCTTTGTACACTCGAACCTCATTACGAGGAAGATCACAATTGCAAATTAGTTTTTTTTAATGCCTTAGTCAACTCATACAAGTCCTCCGCAATCTGGCTCATGTGAAAATCACCCCTGCCTCCCCAAACAAACGGACAAAAAAAAATATTATTGCAAGCTTAAAAATCACTACAGATAACTCACCTGCAAAAAAAAAAAAAAAGGAGTTGGTGCCATTCTTTTAAATGTAGTAAATTATCTTTCAAAATTTAATGTTACTTTTATGCTACCTTTAAAATTTTGAGCCTCACAAGAACAAAATATTTTGTTCAATACAGCCGATATTGCAATGGCTCTGGCATATTTGGTTTGATTACGAAGAGAACAAATGGCACGGAAGTTAACTGACCAAAGTTGGTATTACTTTTGCGGTGAGTAATAATTTGAAGTGTCAGTGTTAGTCATAATAAAGCGTCTCGATATGAGCCTCCGTAGCCTTAGCTTCAAAGTCAGGATAATAAGTTCAGTTGGAATCACCCGTGCCATGTTAAGCCATGCGTGGCTGGCAAATGGCCAGAGCAACGCTAGCAATGCTTTCAGCCAGTCTGGAGGCGTGTAAAAGAACTTGTTAGGCTAGTTTATACAAAATTTCAAAAAATTAAATCGAGCGTGAACACACGACACAATCACACACACCTACTCATCAAACACGCACGAGCGCTGTGCGTGTTTGGTGCGTGTTTGATGCTGGGGTGTGTGGGTGTGATAGTGATTGTGTCGTGTGTTTGCGCTCGATTTATTGTTTTAGAGGCAAGTGCTCGCTCCTTCTTTGACATTTTTCTGTCTGCAGCTTTTGAGTGGTCTAGTAAACAATTTTTTTACTGCTACACCAAATGCTTCATGTTACAATGTATAGTATCGATTTGTTGCGAAAGGATTGTGCTTTATAATGGCATCATTTGCAAGCAAACATTTAACAGTTTTCGAAGAAAAATACTTCAAAAATTTGCAACAAAAACAAGAAACTTCCGTGAAAACATCGATGCTGCTTTGCAGCTACACAACCTAAGAAAATTTCCAGATATAAATTTTAAAGAAAGCTGTATACAGCATCACTGCAAATATGAATGTTCTATCCGTAAAACTTAATTTGATACAAAAAAAAAATAATGTTAGCCAGTGCACCAAGCAGTTGCAGGGTGTGGTGAAGTACAAGTTTGTGGAGCATGTTTCACAGGAAACGTTCATACTATGTTCAAGTTTTCGTTTTTGGAAGCATGAAGTTCCTGTATCTTTGTAGCTTCTGGGGCTTGCGCTACACTTCCTCAGGGGCACTTGTAGCGGGAGCAACCGCAGGATCCTTGGGGCCTGTATGTTGTGGCTCAAGTCTTAGGAGCTGCTCCATTAGTTCTTGCCTGAACGTGAACTGATCAAAGCGCGCTTCTTGACAATGTCGGCTCTTTGGAATGCTGCAGACGATGCTCATCATAAAGCTGTTTACAACAGCAATATCTGTACAGTGGAAAAACTGCATTTTCCACCAGCACACACACTTCATCAGAACTTTGTAGGTCCTAATTAGCTTGTCTGATTTGTCGAAGCCTGACATGCCCACATTTTACTTGTCAATCAGCATTGGCTTTTTCACAGGTACTTCTTGCCACTTATTGTTCACTTTCCTTCTGCACTCACTAATTCGTTGGCTGTGTGTACATCATGGGAACCATTGTAAATATAGAACATGCTGATCCCGTAGCCACAGAACATCTCCAGATTTTTTTCCCCATTGAGTGTCCTTCAGATTGGTTAAAAAGCCGTGACGATTCTTGCACGTTGTGCCACTAGCAAGCGTCTTGCACTCCAGCAAATGCAAAAACAAGGATGTCAGCGTGTAAAGGTTGTCCAAATAAATTATGTAGCCTTGATCCTGGTAGTTCAATACGAGCCCATGTGCGCTTGGTGCTTCCCCGTGTATTATGCACTGGAGTGAACTGCGTAACCCGATTTGCAGTCCACCAAGACCCACCATTCATATCCCCAATTGATAACTTCGGCCCGCATGCACTGCCCAATTCCAGATCTACCTTTGGATTCTCTCGTCAATGGCTCTGATCAGGTTGGAAATATTGAGCGGGTGAGGGGTAGTGCTTCAGCAGTTAAGCTGTGCAATGCTATAGGACACAACAGTTGTCTTTTCGGGTCAGACACTCTGAGGAATGCAAGTAGTGCTTTGAATTGATTTCTTGGCATTACCGAATAAGACCAAGAAATAATTTCCACATGTTCCAATAGCAGTGCAAGCGCGGCCCTCGCATGATACCCATGTAAATGAAAAGACTGATAAACTTCTTCTCATTGGGAGTCGCTTCCTTTCGTGAGCCGTCTCTCTCACTGTATGACTGCTTCTCCAAATTGTGCATGCATGCATATTTATTAGTCACGTTGCGTTTCTCTGCGATTACTTCTCTTGTGAAGAACAGTGCGAAGAAGACCCACGGCTCTTACGAAGCGCTGCGCAGCACCTGAGGAGGTCAACACCCGCCCATCATCATGCGCAAAACTCCAATTTTTTTGCCACCACCGACAAGGGATCCTGCCCAATGATCTTGATATCCTGCAAATAAGAACCGCGGCCTTTAGAACAAGCCGGATGTGTTTACATTTGACCGCCACCGAAAAAAAAAAAAAAAAAAAAAACCAGTTTGGAGTAGAAAACAGAACTTACTAGTAGATACCTGTTGACATTCCAGGCTATTTGACGCACTTTCACTGTGTGTGCTAAGGTCTGATGAATCAGTCATCTCCTTAGTCTCCGCTGCTACCATCATCACAATATTCAGATGCAGACTCAGCAGAATCCTTTGAAATTCGCTGTTTTCAAGGGGTAGATACACACAATATGGACACCTGCGAGCACTCGTCCAGCGTGATCAAGAGGCACTCTCCCTCTGCGGCGAAAAAAAAAGAAAGTGAAACTAGCAAAAGAGTTCTCCTTTGATGCACTGGATAGCGCTAGCTGTTCGTGAGCAGTCCGATAAAATTTTAATTGAAACTATCTACAACACACTGTCGGATGAGTAGAGGCACGAACTGGGAAGTGTTAAACGAGGGAGCGAATGCGCGCCTGTAGACTGGACATGCACTAGTACATTGTAACCGTGCCGGCGCTGATGGAAAGGCCTATTCTTAGCCTAGGCCAGGGGCTCTCAAGCATGTTGGTGCCAGGGAACTGTGCTAAGCTACATCAAGTGCAAAGAACCTCCTCCTTCTCCCCATGATTTTTTTTTTTTTCACTTTTATTTTCAATGAAATAAAAGTTGGGCCATTGGCGCATGGGGGGAATAATGGAGGTTCCCTAGATTGATCACACCTCAGTTGCCATCTAAGTGAGATGAGTGGGCGAGTGTGGAACCAGGAAAAATTTGAAACTGGCTCGCGAAACCCTCATCAGGGTTTCGCGAGCCTGGGGAACACTTAAGTTCCATGGAACCCACTTCTCGAACCCCTGGCCTAGGCAAACCCCTTCCTCCCTCTTCCAGCTAGCCCGCACTGCGTGCTGCGGTCTTTTTCTGCTTTCTTTTTCCTCCCTCTGCCTTTTGTTTGTTCGCTCTGTGTCCCCTCATTCTTCGTAAAGAGCTTGTCCCTCGCTCCCCACTGGCGCATCTTATTTTAGAAGTATACTCACAACCATGTTATAACCAGCCTTTCATCATGGTAGACTGCACAACAAGCGGTATGCATATGAAGTTTTATGGGAGGGAGTAAAAAAAGACTGAATTGTAACCAGTCCTGCACTATGAGTGGTCTGCACTGTATAATAAGGAAGTGTCGGAAGGTAGGGAAAGATTAGAGCGGCTGGTGCAGGGACAGGAGCTGTGGGGGATGAAGCTTTCAAGTCAGCTAGTCTCCGTCTCGGCCACATTGGCAATTTATCGCGACGTCAGCCAGTTGCACCGAGCAGAACAGGCTGGTGAAGCACATTGGTGTGAATGATGCTTTCTCATTTGGAGTGGTAAATCAAACATGGGCAGGACCACCAAGGCAGCAGCGTGCGGCAGCGAAGAGAACAAAGGCAGTGCTACGTTATGTGCAATGCTGCACCGTGCGACAGCGTTGCCAACCACTTTATGGAAATTACCCACGTTGTGGTCAAAATTACCCTACACAACTTTTCTAATTGCCCCACATTTTATTCTTAGCCCAAAACAGCACAATGTAACAATACTAAAATTTAGAGTAGCTTACCTCGAATGAAGGCCGAATGAAACAGCAAAGACAGTGTTCACAAAGAGAAAACATTTATTGAACATGATGAAACATGGCAATCTGTTCATGATGCAAATAACTTGAGAAACATACAGCCACCAGCTCTGTTGTGTTTCTTTGTCGTAGCTTTTTTCATGCTGCTTCTTGTTATATGCATCATAAAGATGCCCTGCTCATTCCGAGTCATCGTGGCCGACTTTTGTCTTCAAACAGTGTACAATCCTTAATGCGATCAAGCCCATTGGATATGCCGCTTATTTTAAAAGAGCGCACAGTCAAAGTTCGTTGGATGTCCTCCCATGCTGCAGGCGGTCTAGTGATGCATACTTTTTTCGTCCACTGCAAAGTACCACCCCGCTTATACGTTAGACGATTACTCCGCAGCTAGTGCAACTTTTCTTTTATAAGCGGCACTATAATGACACCACCTGTTAGGCGCTATTAAGCTACGCCACTCATAGAGCGCAACTCCAAATGACAAACGGCTCGCCTCATCACTATGCACAAGGATCAAAATGGCAACCTCCAGTGTGTAGATTAGCCAGCTGTTGGCTACTAACGTCCAGAATACTGTCTAGGTGGCGCTAAATTGTGTCCCACATTTTTTTTCTATGAAAAATGGCGCTTTTTTAAAATCCTCAAACCTAAGCCAACTTTGGAGTTTTGATACAAGGGGATTTGAAAACTATCTGTTTAGAATTGAATAAGTATGGTACTTCACATTACGACCTGCAGGCGTGTAATGGCACTGAATTCGGTTGCAACTTGGATTTCGAAATTAATTTCAAAGAGGCTAACTAATGTGAAAAACAGCAGATAGAAAAAGCGTTCCTTCGTTTGTTGGGGAATAGCTTTGACTCATAGCTGGAAAACCAGCTATAAGTCTCATCAGCTAGTATGCAGATGACAGTGTAAGTGAAATGCTAACGAAGTGCGTTTAGTGACACGTCATACAGGTGGAAAAAAATGTGCTTGATAGGAAAGGATGCAAGAAAAGCGGCTCTGTGTAAGTACCGCATGCACGCTAGGGCACTAGCCTACACGAAGCCGGGGGTTTAAGAGCTAACATATAGTAGAAAAGAAATCACTACCGGAGGATTGTAGGTGAACAAGTTGGCAGAAATAAAAACAAAAGAAAATGCTTGGAATGTAAGGGTAGTGTTGCCTGTTTGTTGATAGCGATCGTTCATCCCTTGTTTCTTCCTGGAGGCTTATCTGTAAAAGTATTGCTGCTGTGACACAAGTCTGAATCACTGATTAATCAGTCCCCGCAGTTACCATAACAAAGGAAGACCTTGTGGGGCTCAATTGAAAGGCTCAGCTGACTTTTATGCAACAAAATGTTCTCATGGTTTTTGCTTGTGTTTGAAGGCATTGTTTGGTTTGTTAAAGACATTCATAGCTTAGAGAATGTTGGACAATTTTACTATGCAAACGCCGTTCGTCCACTTTCGTGCTACTGCCCCCCCCCCCCCCCTTCAGTTATTATTTCGTCACTGCGATTTGGCTCTTGGAGAAATGCGCAAATTCAGTGACCTTGCTTGAGGCATCAGCGTAGCCAGCCGGTCTGAGAACTGGCTAACCTCCCTGTCCTTCCTCTTTCAATCCTCCTTGCTTGAGGCATCCAAAGTCTGTGTGCAGTGCGTGCTAATCTTATGATATCTTGGTTACAATTGAACTGGAGTAGTGCATGCATGAGTGCTTGCCCCTCTCTTATGCTTTAATAAACATAGTACTTATTTACTTGCGTAATGAATACGCTCATAATGAACCCACCCTCACCTTAGTCTTGGATGGATGGAGATGGCCAGTGCTGTTGATGATGGAAACAACGTTGAATTATGCTGTATATCTCAAAATAACGACACAGTAAAAGTAAGAGCATAGTTCAGGAACCATGCTAAGCAGTTGCGAGCAGCGCGTGTGTGCACGACGTCAGTCCAAATTGAAAAGTCGTGCCATTTGCGGCAAAGCGCTATCTGTTGAGCGCTGAAGAAACCTCTTTGCTTATAGTGTCACGCAAGCTCAGTGGCGTCAAAACAAAGCGATAAATAAAGCACAACCTGGTGCAACGGCGCAGTTTACCCGCAAGGCCGCAGCGTGAGTGCTCCGGCACCCGACACTGCATTTTTGATTTCGGGTTTGTCGTAGTGAACTTCGTTGCACATCTGCTGCGCAGGGCACGATCGGCTTAAAGTTGGTCGAGTATGTGCCGGAGAATAGGAAATAAGTGACTAAATAACACTTTGGAAATTATTCATAAGTGTGCAAAAAAAGGTTTACTCATTTTGCGGGCATAAACAAGAACAGTCTCTTCTTGTCGAGAGTGAAGTTTTCGAATAAGAGCTTCATATTCCTGCCACTGAATTGAAGGCCATCATTGGTTGGATGAGTTTCTTAATACCGTCATGCAAAGTTTTTGCCGTTACAACTCTCATAACTTTTTTCTCTCCCATGTAATGAACCCTCCCTCAAATCAACGTCAACTTTTCTGAAAAAAGGTGGGTTTATTGGGCAAGTGAATACAGTACTGTTTTTTTTTTTTTTTTCACCTGATATACATTGTATGCTTACTGTGGCTGTATAAGTCTGAAGAGTTTACATGGATTAGGTTTTGGTGGATAGCATAGGAAGTTAGTGCACTGAAATGTTACTTAAGTGGATAGCTTGTTGTTAGCGGGTTCGACTATTGCCACATCCTTTTTCTTCATTCCAGATACAGGCACAAGGATTTACGCCTCCTAGGCAAATAGCTTGATTTCATTCCCACATTTTCTTTTTTTTATTATTCGGAAGCACCAAACTTGCGATAATGCATTATGATTGAATTTGCAACTCAATGTAATGTAGTGGTGCACCAATTCAGGTTTACTGTGCCATCCTGATAATATCAACGAAAATTGTGCCAAACTGCGCCAAAGTTGACTTTGGGAGAGTCTGTCACCGGTAATAGCCATGTCGGCGCGTCAGAACATGTGCGTCTTGTTCTCGGAGCCACCAAACTCAGAATCGCGTGCCTAGAATTATTCTGCCGAATGGACAGCGGTCGTCATGCGTCCTAAGGAATCCACGATGCTGTGTTTGGTGCTGACGCAGCTTTCGTTGTGCAAGTACGCTTAACCGTGTAACATGCTCTGTGCAGGGGCTCGTGACGTCTAGTCCAATCAATGCGTTAAACTGTGGCAGTGATTTGTCGGTGGACTTTTTGATATCGTGGTCTAATCTCCTGCGGTTCACGTCTACAGAACAAATGCATGGTGGAAACGCGTTGACACTTTTCCTTTAATATACATTATTCATGAATCTTGATTCAGGAGTTCATTTTTGTAATTCCTTCCATCCAGCAGATCCGCATTTGTAATCACTGTTGCGGTAAAAGCTCCTAAAACACCCTGTCATTCTGCACTCGATATTGCTGGGGCTGGTATTCAAGATTTTGGCATGCTTCTTTTTTAATGTCATCTCATTATTAAAGCATGCTTCCTGGTTGGAGCAGCCGGAATTCACTTTTAATACCCGCAGCTTTCAAGCTTTCAATAGGGAAGCTATCTCTGGTGGCTTTGAAGTCGAAAGGCCCACGCTGAACTGACTACACCTTGTTACACGTTCGCCTCTCGCTTTCCAAGGTCAATAGCTGACGGTTAAAAAAAATAAACATCACGCACGTCTACGTAATTAAGTTCATTTTTTTTTTTTGGTGGGATTGGGGGGGGGGGGGGGGGGGGGGGTCAGAAGCTGCGTTGCTTGAAGAGCGCATTCGCGAGCGTACTATCTCGAGGCCTAATGAGACATGCTTGTATAGTTTCTGCGCTACTATAACCTCTGCTTCACATTTAGATAACTGACAGTGCAAAAACTGCTTCAGCAATTAGAGTGAGCATTGTCCTTTTAGACCGCGCTCATCTGAGTTATGCGATGTCGTGTCCAAAAGATACTATCTGTTAGTTTCACTTAGGCTCTTAGCAATGAATGCAATACCAACAGTCTGTTTGCTTTTACAAGATAATGAAGGCGGAAATGTTGTAGGCCCGTGTGCTCAGATTTGGGTGCACATTAAAGAACCCCAGGTTGTCGAAATTTCCGGAGCCCTCCACTATGGCGTCTCTCATAATCATATGGCGGTTTCGGGATGTTAAACCCCACATATCAATCAATTTGAGAGTACAAGATAGAAGGGTATAACAGCAGTCTTTAATGCCTGCCGAATTAGCACGAGTGCCAATGATCACGGTCAAAGTTCATAACAACGCATTCCCCCCCCCCCCCCACCTGTTTATAGTTCTTTCTTGCTTTTTGAAGATGGGTGGCATGTTACTCTCGGCTTTTGTAACAATCGTGGCAGGCCTGGCACATGGGGTGATGCTCTTGCATCTGCACTCCGTGCAAAGATACGATAGCAAGTATGTGGACAGCCTCGGCTGGTTTTTTGGCCATCGCCGCCACTGCCGTCATTCACCATATATGTGTATGTATCTATATATGCGAAAACTCAAAAAAGGAAAAAAAAGCTGCTCGGCGCTTGGCTTGTCGCGATGTGATGCGCTGACGCGCACTTATCTCCCATGTGTACTTTGCCCTGCCAATGGGAGGTTACATTATCGTGCGTGCGCGCTTATCCTTCTGTGGGGAGGATCGTGTGCTTTCGGCTTTTACCGGAATGGTTGCGTTTGTTGCCGGGTCCAACACAAAGGTCACTTTGTGTATCAACTGGGAAACTTCTTAGATTGCACTCATCTGTATTTGTGACTAGGTTTCGTGCGTCGTTTTTGTCTAAACAGCACGGGAATGGGCCCCTCCCCAAATATTTTTTTGCCATGGCACATATATAGCTCAATATTACCATTTGCATGCCCCCTCCTTCAGATCAAGGTGCACCCCCCTCCTCCCTCCTCACAAAAAAAACAAAACAAAAAGACCTATGTCTTTGGAGATAGCAAAAACTAATCGAAAATGTCCTTGCAATTGCTATCGCAATAAAAAGATTGTTCTAGCCTTCTAGTCGTCTTAGGTGTATGCATAAAGTACCCTGTGAGGTTCTTTTTCCTTTACTCAATGCTTTCGAGAACACACAGGGGGATTTTGTAGTATAGACAGAATGCCCTAGCCACATGAAGTACCGCTGTAAAAGGAAAACGAAGTTTTTTAAATCTTGTAGTTTCAGCACAGAGAATGAATGTGAGAGGAGGTTTGCGGTATGAGACTAGCTAAATGACGTCATGTTTAGACCAGCAGTTTAATCGGTTGTGAAGAAAAAAAACCCTTCTATATCCTTGGAATCGTCTAAGGGAAGCAACTGTGTGTTGTACATCACAGCTTTTTGTCTACCATGTATGCTGATAACCACATAGGTGTATAAAATGCTATTTCATGAAGTACAATTTTATTCAACCGTATTCTGTTTATTTGCTACAAAAATAATCAATGAACAAGTTTTTTTCTGAATGGCCAACATAATAATGCCATTATTTTTGCATCATCAACTAAAATAGATAGTGCTCCTTAGATGAGATTTGAAATGAATGGAAATATTTCTAGCTCTTCACAGGAGACAAGAGCCCCAAAATAATTAATGTCATTGAATGTAAATGTAACTTGCTTCTCCTCCAGGATGTGAAGTTACCTGCTCCAAAGTGCTCCAAAACGGAAAACTTATGACGAATTCCACTTGTCGAGCAGAAGCAAGTTTTCTTGCTCCAAAGCTGACAATCCACGTTTCGCTTGTAGATTCGGAGCAATCTACTATGCGACGGAGCGTTCCACGTGCTCCGTCTTGCAGAGACAGATTTCGCCGGAACTCCAAGAATGCGTTGCCATCAATTCCGGTACAGTCAGGCAGCTGGGTTGCCCTCAGCGTTTTTTGAGGCGGTCTTGTAACCCTGCGCTCTTGTTTACGTTCCTAAAATTGGAAAGCGGTAGCCCTGCTTTGCGCGACACTGCGTGGTCGTAATGAGTGTTTTGCAGTGGCGACACAGTTGTCTGAAACGTCGAGAGCAGAAAAGAAAATAGTTTCCGGTACCGGTTTGATGGCGTATGCGTAAAAAACTTCCGTAGAGACCTCACGTGAGGCATTCACGTGTTCCACTCGCAGATCTTGTTGGCACACTCTGAGTACTCGCTCCAAGATTTCGGCGGCCACTCCGGATCTACCAGTCGAATTCGCCATTAGCTGCTCCAAAGTGCTTCAAAATGAAAATTTCGCTGCTCCAATGTGCTTCAAATAGAAACTTTGGCTTCTCCAGAGTGCTCTGAAATGAAAATTTCTCGGCTCCAAAACTTGCTTCAAATTAGAAGGCCTCGGTGGCATCACTGGTAATGCCATGAATGGACATTTATTTTACGTTGCAGTTCCTGCTTATGTGGGCAGATGACGGAATCGTTCTGCCCTTGAGTACTGTGAGATTCTGTGTTTTTGTACGTGCCCATTTTTATGCAATGACAACCGGTGTCCATCATGTCCTTTCCTCTGCTAGTCATTGCAAGGGAGTGTGGCCTGAAGAACCTTTCACAGCGGTGTTGCTGCATCTCCAGGCGAGATATTCATG